CCCCCCCCCCCCCCCCCCCCCGCGCCTCCCCCCAACCCCTTATCTCTTCGATGGCTGGTGGAGAGGGGTACCCTCTTGCCCCATCCAATCCCTTTCCGCCGTTCAATCCGGCTGTGGCCCCTAAAAGGTAGAATGACGCCGCTGCGGATGAACCACCAAAATAAGGTAAAGGACGTCTAGACAGGTGCCACGCGTAACGGTATACACACAAACACAAAAACAACAATGGTGTCGTCCGAGGAACACCCCTCAACAGCAGAGCGGGCACACATCTTGGGTTACGAAACATCCCCAAGCACAAGAGCGCGTCCTCGCCCGCTGGAAAAGCGTCCTCGCCCGCTGAGATGCGGCGAGATTCACAATCGCAGAGCTAACCGCTCCGCGTTCACTCCACTTCCCCTCCTATAACCCCCCCCCCCCCCCCCCCCCCCCGTCACCCATCATCTCATGTCGAACCAAAAGAACATTAATTGAAAGCGTGCCGAGGTCGATTGCCTCGTACATAAAGAGCATTCGAAGGTTGATCTCGCTGTTCACTCAATCATGCCAGCATCGACCCATTCCTTGCACTCAACCAACGGTGGCGGCTTTAAGTGCAGCAGCAGACCCATCTACTACAAGTTTCTCTACTCAAACACTCCGGTGGAAGTCCCTCCCTCCTATTGTACCACAGCGCGACACAACGACAGACCCTGCTCGATTCTCCTCCTCCTCCCTCCTCCCCACCTCATTTACAGGCCCACAAAATAAAAATATCGGGACGTTAACAAGGCAAACACGATCCTCAAGGAACACAAGGGAGCCCTTGCAAGCGCGACAAGCAATTGCGACAACCGTCTCCTAAGCTACGAACATTCCCCGACCCCCCAAACACGGCGCCAACACCCGCCGTCTACACANCCCCCCCCCCCCCCCCCCCCCCCCCCGCCCGCGGCCTCGTCCCCGAAACCACCGCAATAAGCAAGTGGCATGACGTCATCGGGAGACGGAGGCGACAACGACGGCGGCATGCGACGAACGCAACAGTTCAGGAAGACATATCCTCTCCAACAACTGCCTCCATCGACAGAGGAACAACATGACCCCCCCCCCCCCCCCCC